CGCTGCTGGAGACGATGCTGAGGCGCTCGGCGCGCTACCTCATGGAGGGAAAACAGCTGCTGCTGCTCGGCGCCGGTGGCGTTAGCAAGAAGTTCGTGTGGGAGGCGGCGCGCGACTACGGGCTCAAGGTGGGCGGGGCTCAAAGTCCGGGCCTTGGTGGAGGCGGGCCCCGGGGGCGGGCCCGGGGCGGTGTTGACCTTGGGGCGGGGCCTGCGCCGGGTATTCTAGCAGGAGGCCTAGAGCTCAGGCGTGGGCTGGCTGGGCGACAGGCCCCGCCGAGGTGGGCAGTCTCAACTGTTTTTGGCCTCTAGGTGAATTCTCTTCCCGCCAGGTGTGAAAAGCCTCCGGGACACCAGACCACCAGTCCCAAGCCCTAACCCTTGAGGTTTCCCTACAAGTCTTGACCAGACTGAGCCTGCCTATGGGAAAGAGTCCACCACCCTTCTGCACTCTGTCACCCCTCCCTTCTGCACTCGAGCCCCCTCCCACCTTGGTCACAACCTCTCTCCTGCAGCCATCTTTCCTCTGGCCGACTCTTATCCAGCTCCCAGCTTAAACACTGCCTCCTCTAGGTTGCCTTCCCTCACCTTTAGGCTGGATTAAGTGTCCCACCTCTGTACCTTCCATATAATCACCAACAAATATTTTTGGAGCACCTAGCATTGGTGAGCCTGTCTCCCCTGAGGGCCAGGACTATGTTCTAGGTCCCATCCTATGGCCCAGTGCCCAGCAAAAGCTCATCTCAGTGTGTTGCCGTCCTGTGGTTTCTGCAGCTGCACCTGGTGGAGTCGGACCCCAACCACTTTGCGTCCCAGCTGGTGCAGACCTTCATCCACTTCGATGTAACAGAGCACCAGAGGGATGAGGAGAATGCACGGTTGTTGGCGGAGCTGGTGCGGGCACGTGGCCTGCAGCTAGATGGCTGCTTTTCCTACTGGGATGACTGCCTGGTGCTCACAGCCTTGCTCTGCCAGGAGCTGGGTCTGCCCTGCAGCCCGCCGGCCGCCATGCGCCTGGCCAAGCAGAAGAGCCGTACCCAGCTGCACCTGTTGTGCCACCATGGCCCACCCTGGCCCGCGCCCTCCCTCTATGCTGTGCCCTGCTGTCCACTGGAGAGTGAGGCTGACGTGGACAAGGCTGTCCGCCAAGTACCCCTGCCAGGTGTCATGAAGCTGGAGTTTGGGGCAGGCGCTGTAGGTGTACGGCTAGTGGAGGATGCGCCACAGTGCCATGAGCACTTTTCCCGGATCGCCCGTGACCTGCAGGGCGAGGCCGACCATCCCGGCATTGGGCTGGGCTGGGGCAATGCCATGCTGCTAATGGAGTTCATTGAGGGCACTGAACACGATGTGGATCTGGTGTTGTTTGGTGGGCGACTGCTGGCTGCCTTTGTCTCTGACAATGGCCCCACACGGCTGCCTGGCTTCACTGAGACAGCCGCCTGTATGCCCACTGGACTGGCACCAGAGCAGGAGGCGCAGCTGGTGCAGGCAGCTTTCCGCTGTTGCCTGGGCTGTGGGCTGCTGGATGGCGTCTTCAATGTGGAGCTCAAGCTGACTGGGACTGGGCCGCGGCTCATCGAGATCAACCCCCGCATGGGCGGCTTCTACCTACGAGACTGGATCCTGGAGCTTTATGGTGTGGACCTCCTGCTGGCTGCTGCTATGGTGGCCTGTGGCCTGCGGCCCGCCTTGCCTGCCCACCCACGCGCCCGTGGTCACCTGGTGGGCGTCATGTGCCTGGTGTCCCAGCACCTGCAGGTCCTGAGTTCCACCACCAGCCGTGAGACCCTGCAGGCTCTTCACGACCAGGGCCTGCTGCGCCTCAATCTACTGGAGGAGGCCCTGGTGCCTGGCGAATATGAGGAACCCTACTGCAGCGTGGCTTGTGCTGGGCCCAGCCCGGCCGAGGCCCGTCTCCGCCTGCTGGGCCTCTGTCAGGGCCTCGGCATTGATGGGCCCCACTACCCCGTTGCCTACTTCTTGTCCCACTTCAAATAGTGCTGGGGCTGGAGGGCAGGGGCAAATTGCTGGAAGGGGCACTGCAGTGCCCTCTGCTCCCTGGTGCTCTCCCAGCATCTCTTGCCAAAGCCCTGCCCCAACCCTGGTCAGGTCCACTCCAAGGCCCCAGGTCTCTTCCAGAGTGGCAGGGCCATTTTGACACCAAGGTCTCCTGGGCTTGAGGGGCACAGAAGAACGTATCTGGGAGGCTGTTAGGCCTTCTTGCCCTCCCCAAAGCCCCAGTCCAGCCCACAGCTGTCCCAGGACTCTACCCATGGAGAAGCAACAACAGTTGCACATACATACACCCTACCCCCAGGTTGCTGGGAGTGGGCCTAAACCCAGTCCATCTTCCCCACCCCTCCAGGTCTGTCTCTCTTCCTGCTGTCTGCAGGAGAGAACCTGGCTGGCCCCTGGCCTTGAACACATCCCAAGAACCCTTTGTTCTCCTCATGCCCTCATTTAACAAATTTTAGGATAGGCCTAGAATGCCTGGTGACAACTTCTGGCAATGCCCCACCTGCGTCATTTGGCATGAGCAGTAGAAGCAGGTGACTGGGGTCAGCAGTAACCATCTCCCCTCCAGGCAGACACTATTGCCCCATTCTACAGAAAAAAAAACAGGCTCAGAGAGGAAAAACCACTGCCTCGATGTCATAGCACAGTGGTTGAAGGGTCAGGGGACAAGATGCAAGGTCCAGGTTTCTGCTTTTACTAACTTGTACGTGCCCACTCAGCTTCTAAGCCCAACTCACCTCCCTGCCCTCACACGTGGCCCTGAGATGTGTGAACCTCCCCCCTCCCCCCAATGCACCTTGCACCTTCACCAAGCTTTGGTGGTTGGCCTCAGGCACACCTAACTAGCACGGGCTACACTTCCTCATTCAGGGGAGGCTGCTTTAAGAATACTGCCTCTGTGCAGCACAGGAGCTGTGGACAGCGCCACAAGCATCCCTCTCCAAATAAAGGCTTGTGGACTAGTGAACTGTCCAGAGTCTGGGATAGGTTCTTGCGACTCGGACAGCACTTCTCAGGGTCAGCTAGAGGAGGGGATGAGGAAGGGGGAGGGAAAGGTAGTTAGGGGATACCTGTAGCCTCTGGAGCTAAGGATAAACCGCCACACTGGCCAGGCCTCTGAGCTGACCTGTGGGAGGCCTGCCAGGGGCACCTACACCAGGACCCAAACCTGAGTTTCCCGAGGGTGAGATTACAACCAGAGGGCCACACCCAACCAGATAGCCTTTCTCCAGCCTGGGGACCCCTGAATTCTGTCCATTTGAGTTCATACCTAGCCTGCCCTGTCCAACTGGAATGCACATCCAGACAGCTTCCAATGATCAGAATTCATCCAAGGCTTGGTCTGGCCCAATTCACCCCCTCAGAACCCCATCCAACAAGAATACATGTCCAAATCTAAACTCACAGACAAGGTCTGGTGTGTTCATTCATTCATTATATTTGTAGTAAAGTTTTATGAAGCACCTATTCTGTACCAGGTAACCGAATCACGACTAAATGTGCTTAAATTGGCAACAGGCAAACTCCAGCACAAACTCATATTTACCTGGTGGATCAATGAGACCCAAACCCTTTCAGTAAGGAATTCGGCAACAAAACCCAGCATTGAGCAGAGTATGGAGCAGTAGAGGCTCTGATTTGCAGGGTCCTGGAGCCGAGAGGCACGTTAGGGAGATCACGATGCAGCAGTCGGCTCCCTTTCGGAGGCAAACAGAGGAATATACGCCAGCTGCTTCTCGCCACTCAGGGAGCCTGACAGGGCACGGCTGCTGGGAACTGCATTTACACTCACACATGCATGCACTTCTGACTCTGCCCCATCCAAACTCTTCCCAGAACCAAGATAGACGCCTTCCAGGCCGCCCTTGTCCGGTGCCGCCCCGGTGAAGCTGTGCTGGAAAGATTGAAGGGCCCGCGGAAGAGAGTGCGGAAGGCCTTAGTACCCCTGCACTCTGGGACTACCATTCCCGAGATGCCTTGCAATCGACGCCATCTTTTCTCCTCGCCCGCTAAGCGGCCGGCTCGAGGGAGGGACAACCTCTTGCGTCATCGGCGCGCGAGGCGGCCGTCGCGGAGTGATGACGTATAAGCCACGCCCCTGCCTGTCAGTCAGATCGCGGCCGGGTACCGGCCGAGTGGCCCGCGGGGCCGGCGCCGCTATGGCGGCGGTGTTTGACCTGGACCTGGAGACTGAGGAAGGCAGCGAGGGCGAGGGCGAGCCAGAGTTAAGCTCCGCGGTTAGTGTTTCGCCCGGGCGCGGCTCGATCCCGGAGTCGATCCCTTTACCCGGGCGGTGGGATCTCCCGGTCTCCCCCAACCCGGAGTGGGCTCCGCTCCTGCAGGCCTGGATCTGTCTGAGATCCCCGCCACTATTAAGCTCTGTCCCCACCCTCACCCTGACCTGCCTTGCAGGCCCCCAGCCCTTCCCATGAGTCTCCCTTTCCCGCTCTCGCCTCTCCTCCCAAGTCCTGGCCCATCTCCTGCCAGCTCCCATTGCTGATCCCCTCCTCCTGGGCCGAGCAGTCCAGCCTTAGGGGGTGGTGGGGGAGGCATCCTGGAACCTCCCTTGGCTCTTACCCCTCGGTTTCTCACAGGACGTGTGCCCCCTTGCCGAGTTGAGGGCAGCTGGCCTGGAGTGAGTGAGGGTTGTGTTGAGGGAGGAGGGAATGGGCTGGGGAAGGGGACCTGAAGAATACTGAAGCTTGCTCCCATTAACTTCTTGTGCCCACAGGCCCGTGGGACACTATGAGGAGGTGGAGCTGACTGAAACCAGTGTGAACCCGGGCCCTGAGCGCATTGGACCCCACTGCTTTGAGCTGCTGCGTGTGCTAGGGAAGGGGGGCTACGGCAAGGTACCGGCCCTCACTCCTTCCTCACAGCCTTAGTTCTTGCTACAGCAAAGGGTCTCAAAACAAATTAGACTTGTAAATCAGTGGAGCCTCTGATAGAACTCAGAGATAAAAACATAAAGGAGGGAAGAGTAAATCCTCTCAGACTTGAAATCTTTATAGCCCCACCCTTGGGTGGGCCTAGGCCTCTGGATCCCTGTGCCAGAGCTTGAGGGTGGGGCTTTTTGAAGATAGGATATGGAAAGGGAGGTTGATCCTGTCTCCCCTGCCCTACAGGTGTTCCAGGTGCGAAAGGTGCAGGGCACCAATCTGGGCAAAATATATGCTATGAAAGTCTTAAGGAAGGTGAGTCATTGTTCAGCCAACAGAGCCTCACTGAGTGGTTGCCTTTCCCGATGTGCAACACCAGGCTTTGGGAAGACAGCGGTGAGCGTGCTGGAGGAGGTGGTCACTGTCGTGGGCATTTGCTTGTTTATCGTCGGTTGTGATATTGTTGTTTTGCAGTAATTCCCAACCGTGGACAGTATTGCCTCCTAGGGGACATGTGGCAATGTCTGTGTACATTTTCGAGTCGTGGCTAGAGAGGGGAGGCTCCTGGCATCCAGTGAGTAGAAGCCAGGGATTCTGCTAAATCCCCTACAGTGCAAAAGACGGCCCCCCACAACAAAGAATTATCTGCCCCAAATGTCGTTAGTGCTGTGATTGAGACACACTGTGCTACTAGGAAGAATCAGTCCCTGGAAAGGATGATTGCTGATAGCAGCAGAATTATGGAGAAGTACAGTGGGGTCAGAGAGGATGGCAGAAGGGTGGTGGCTGGAGGGACTAAAGGAGCCCTGGGTGCCCACCTTCTAACCGATTCCTGCCTCTCCAGGCCAAGATTGTGCGCAACGCCAAGGACACGGCACATACGCGGGCTGAGCGGAACATTCTAGAGTCAGTGAAGCATCCCTTCATTGTGGAACTGGCCTATGCCTTCCAGACTGGCGGCAAACTCTACCTCATCCTTGAGTGCCTCAGTGGTATGAGTGTGGGCCCAACCAAGGGTGTAGGCAAGGCCAAGGAACCAGCACAGGGAGCACTGGGGGAAGCTGGGAGAGATGTGGTGTGTAGAGTAGACAGGTGGTCCCCACTCCATCCATCCATTGGTCCATTCATTCATTCATTGATTCAGCAAACATCTGTCCAGTGCCTCTTGTGTCTCTCCCCTGTGTTGGGGGTGGGTGGGAATGGTGGGAGTTTGTATAGGAGTCCAGAGGGTTGTTTTGTCCATTTCCACTCCCTCTTCACGTCCTGGTCCTCTCTCCTGTGTGCCCTGCATCCAGTCAGGTCCCAGATCCAGGTGGTTCATTCTCTGCAGCATTCTCCATTCTCTCTGCTCTCTTGGGGGTGGGGGAGGAGTCACAGTTGTTTCTTAACTAGACTTGAGACCTCCAGCTCACCCTCTCCCTAGTGTCTCCTTCACTAACTTCCAGGGTTATCTTCTGAGAGCACAGGATTGTCCCCAGCACTCTTGCTCAGAATACCATGGTTCCCTGTAACTCCTCAGATTGAGTCTGGCCTTCATGGCCTGGTGTCCCCTGCTCACCAAAGTGGCCCGGGTCTGCTTGCCGCCCCCTGAGCCCATCTGTGCTGATGAGCCCTGTGAGCTTCATCCCCTGTGTTCCATCTCAGCATCCTCTTAAATTCTCACTGCTACCACAGACTTTCCCTGTCCCCTCACTTTGCTGTGTCTCCCTGTCTCCCCTGAGGGATTTCGGGTTAAGCTCTCGAAACTGTTGCCTCTGGCATATCAGAGCAGCTGCGTGCGTGTCTGTCTCCTAGTAGACTGAGCGTCCTGAGGGCAGTGGCTGGGTCTCTTCATCTCTGTGTCCCCAGCTTCACCCAACACAGGGCCAGGCACCGCGTAGGCATCGGTAGATGTTTGCTGAATTGAATTGAATCCCCACGGCAGCTCTGTGAGGCAGGTAGGGTGGGAATTATGAGCCCTACTCTCCCCGAGAAGAAACCAAGAGTCAGTGAGCAGAAGAGCTTGGTCCCAGCACGCAGCTGCTGACATGTTTGTGTCGCAGGTGGTGAGCTCTTCACACATCTGGAGCGAGAGGGCATCTTCCTGGAAGACACGGCCTGGTGGGTGTTACCTCCTGCCTCTCTCCTGAGGGGGTCCAAGGATCCCTCCCCAACAGGGCCTGGCTCTACCCCGCCCCTGGCCTTCATCCTGTCCTGTCTCTGCAGTTTCTACCTGTCAGAGATCACACTGGCCCTGGGCCACCTCCACGCCCAAGGCATCATCTACCGGGACCTCAAGCCTGAGAACATCATGCTCAACAGCCAGGGTGCGCATGCGTCTGCTGCACTCGCAGCTGCGAGTCCGGGGTCAGGACCCTCTGGGAGGGCCAGGGAGCCCTGTGGGGTGGGCTGGGGCCCTGTCCTACCCCTGTAACTTCGTCCTCAGGCCACGTTAAACTGACCGACTTTGGACTGTGCAAGGAGTCGATTCACGAGGGCGCCGTCACCCACACCTTCTGTGGCACCATCGAGTACATGTAAGCGGTAGACGGTAGGGCCCAGCAGTCGGGAGAACAGCCAGGCAAGACTTGGCCTGACAGACTGTTCCACTTGGCCCCCAGGGCCCCTGAGATTCTGGTGCGCAGTGGCCACAACCGGGCGGTGGACTGGTGGAGCTTGGGCGCCCTGATGTACGACATGCTCACTGGATCGGCAAGTCCAGCCTCCTCGGGGGCGGGAGTGGGGGCAGGAGGAGGGCCCCCTCCTGGGGCAGGGCAGGGCCAGGTGGGAGGCCCACAAGGCTCCTCTCACCCTCTGCCTTCTCCAGCCACCCTTCACTGCAGAGAACCGGAAGAAAACCATGGACAAGATCATCAAAGGGAAGCTGGCGCTGCCCCCCTACCTCACCCCGGATGCCCGGGACCTCGTCAAAAAGGTGGGCTCCTGGCCGCCTCTCTCACTCCCTCATCTACAGAGACGGCCCACACTCTGTCTATGGAGTGTGTATCTGCTTTTACTTTAACCTGAGCACCCAACCCCCACATCCTGTGGCCTTTCTCTTGCCTTCTGAAACAGCCTACACTCTACACAGTATGTATTTCTCTAAATAAATCTACCTTTACTCAAAAACAGAAACAAAAAAACCCAAAAAGGTGGGCTCCCTCCTGCCCCTGACAGGCCCTGCATGGGCTCCTGAGTCTCCCTGGGCCAGTTGCGGGTCCACCCCTACCTGTAGACTCTGCCATTGGATAAGGAGCACTGGCTCTGGTGTCCAAGATGACAGCTCTGATGCAGACCAGCTGCTGACCCCAGACAGGTCCCTAGTCTGAGTCTTAATTGGTGAAATGTGCATGACAGACTAGTCACTCTCACCAACAAGGCAATCACTGGGGACGAAAGTGGGTGGGTAGGCGCCCCGCCCAGATTTCGAGGTGGAGCACCGCTGAAGTGCCTCGCTGAAGTGCCCTGGAGGCGTGCCGGCAACCAGCTGCCTTTGCAAACGCTTCACAGAGAAGGGCCACTGGACCAAATCTGGGAGGTCCTAAGGGTGTCTGTAGGTGGAGACCACACTCCAGAGCAAACCCCCCAACCCCCAACCCTCGTCTCACCTTTCATCATTCCCTTGAGGCCATTCGGGAACACTCGATTGTACCTCTCCCGCAGACCCTTACCCTCTGCCCTTATCCTGCAGTTTCTGAAGCGGAATCCCAGCCAACGGATTGGGGGTGGCCCAGGAGACGCTGCTGAGGTGCAGGTGGGTCTGGGGCCACCACAAGAGGGCAGGGCTGAGCCCTGAGGGGTGCCCTGTGCAGGGAGTGGGGCCTTAGGGCACAGGGAGTTTCTGAGGGAGCCAAGGAAGGGGAAATGTTGTCAAGTTTGGGGGCACTCCACCCACAGCGGCACCCCTTCTTCCGGCACATTAATTGGGATGACCTCCTGGCCCGCCGCATGGACCCCCCTTTCCGGCCCTGTCTGGTGAGTGGAGGTCCCATTGGCCCCAGGGCGGGTGCGTGGAGGCCCCTGCCTTGGACACCCTTGACCTCTCCCCTCCACCGCCGGGGTGACCACAGCAGTCAGAGGAAGACGTGAGCCAGTTTGACTCCCACTTCACAAGGCAGACACCAGTGGACAGTCCAGACGACACAGCCCTCAGTGAGAGTGCCAACCAGGCCTTCCTGGTGAGGTCCGGGGCCCTGAGGGTTATAGGGTCACGGGCAGGGATTGTGGCCAAGGAGCAATGGACCTTGAGCCTCGCCCGGCCCTGCCTCTGCCCCTCCAGGGCTTCACGTACGTGGCACCCTCCGTGCTGGACAGCATCAAAGAGGGCTTCTCCTTCCAGCCCAAGCTGCGCTCCCCCAGGCGCCTCAACAGCAGCCCCCGGACCCCCATCAGGTACCGCGGGGCAGGGGACTCCAGCGGCAGGGGCACCTGACCTCACAGCCTGAGCACCAGGCAGGGAGTCGGCCCTCCCGACCCCATGCCAGTAGGCGCTGACTCTGCCTTGGTTTCCCCTGCAGCCCCCTGAAGTTCTCGCCCTTTGAGGGATTCCGGCCCAGCCCTGGCCCACCAGAACCCATGGAGCCTCCTCTACCTCCTCTCCTGCCAGCACCCCCACCACCGCCACCCTCGAGCACTGCACCTCTCCCCATCCGACCCCCCTCAGGGACCAAGAAGTCCAAGAGGGGCCGTGGGCGCCCTGGGCGCTAGGAGGACGGGTGGGCGAAGGCCTCCAGGAAGACCCCTCCCTCTAAGCCGTGAGGACAGTGGGCCCCTGGGCCAGTTCAGAGACCTGGGGCTGGGGCTGGGGGTACAGGAGTGAGTGTGTGTGGGAATGTGTGTCTCTGGGGAGGGTGGCTGTGCCCCTGAATCATGATCATGAAGGGCTGCTGGTCGAGGGGCCACCCACCTGGCCTCTCGCAGTTGAGCTGTGCCCTTGGAGAATTAAAGTATTGAATCATGGCACTGACCTGGCTCTTCCTTTAGACTTCTGGGGCCAGCGGGTGGGGGAGGTCACAACAGGAGCACAGAGCTATGGGACTGGAGAGGTTTTATTTCAGATGGCTGCCCAGTGCCCCTGGGGATGGGTGGCCTTCCTGGAGGGGCCAGGGATACACACATTCGGGGATAGAACTAGTGGGGGGCATGACAGTCTGAGGTTCTCCAAGTGGGGGTGTGGGTTACAATGTGTCCAGGGTAGGCCGTGTCCAGACATGGCAGCTTGGGAAGCAGAGGCACAGTGGCAGGGATGCAGCACCAGGGCTGGCTCCTACAGTGCGGTGACGTGGAGACCCTGGCCCCCAGCTGCCCTATCGCTGTCGTCCCAGGCCGCGCTTCCAGCAAAGGCGTGCAGGTCACTCAGTAGGGCCTCGGCACTGCCCCCTGATCCTTCTGGCCCCTGGGAGGCCAGGCCCAGGCCCCCTTCGGCATCATCGTCATGTACCTCCAAAGCCGGCTCTGGGACCTGCTGTGGGATGGGCCTCTCCCCGCATCGCTGCTCCTCTTCCTGGGATTCAGCCTCCACCCGGCTAACTCCCAGGTCGTAGTCATCTTCCATGTCCTGCTCATCCTCCTGCTGCTCTGGCTCCTCATCTGGCGACTCCAGCTCAGCCCTGGTCCGGAGCCATCGGCCTGGCGGGCTGGCCCAGAACAGGCGACGAGTGCGGCCCCACAGCGCGGCACCCAGGCGGGCCGGGTGGTAGTAGCCCCCCGAGTCCCGGCTGAGGCGGCGCCAAGCCAGTGCCAGGCCAGTGACCAGCAGCAGGAGCAGCAGCAGCAGCAGGACAACAGTGACTGAGTTGGAGCCCCCGCTGTCCTTGGCACCTCCATCTGAGCCCAGGGTCCCCGGCAGTGCCAGCAGTGTCCAGAGCCCTAGGGCACAGGGCAGGTCCTGTGGGGAGACAGGCAGGGGCTCATTGCCTGTGCTTGGCAGCCTCTTGGGCAACATGGGGACAGTCAAGCAGAAAAGCCCGTCCTTAGCCAACAAGGCCCTTCCTGGCTTTGTGATATCTGACCACCGGTGCCTCCTCACTCCCACTGCACCACGTAAGCCTGCTCCTGCCCAGGGCCTGTTCCCTGGCTGTTCCATCTGTCCAGAATGCTGCATTCCCCTGAGAGCCACATGGCTTGCCTGCTCACCTGGCTCAGAGGACCTCAGTGCGGCCTAACCAGACCTGGATTTCTACCCTGACAGTTACTCCTGTGGCCAGCCCAGCCCTGCTCTGCTTTCCTACCCACTCCCCAACACTGTAGATCACTCTGCTTGTTTATTGTGTTTATTGTCTTTTTGGCTCAAGCACCTAAACAATTCATAGCACAGAGCAGGTGCTCAATAGATAATGGTTGAATGTGTTAAGACACTGCCACCTGGGAGTGGGAGATGGAAGGGAGGGAAGATGCCTGCGAGGCTGGTGTTGGGGCTGGCTCCTCCCAAGGCCCCAGCCAAGGGACTGGGGCCAGGTCCTGGGATGGGAGTCCCTGAGACCCCTCTTCCTCCCCCCAGCCATGGGACTGCCCCAGCTGCAGCATTTCCGTTCAACTCTGTCCCTGGGGGCCTCAGGCTCGCAGGGCCAGGGGCTCAGGGAGGCAGGTGCAGCTGCCAGAGGAAGCCTGCGGTCGGAACAAGTCAGGTGGGGGATGTGGGGAGAAGGGGGAGGGATGCCGGGGTGCAAGCAATACTTCCCCCCGCCCCCGGCTGTCTGCCCAGGCTCTAGGGAGGCAAGCTGGGACTGTGCTCAAGTCCCAGCTCCTGGGTAGAGCAGGCGACAGGGTCTATCTGTGGGTCGGGCGTAGAGTACGGCACTGGGGGCCCACACCCTGAGTCCGTAGGAGGACCATCTAAAGCGAGGTGAAAGGCCCAGTTTCTGCCCTGTGCTCACCCTGAGTCTCTCGCCTCCGCCCTTGACTGGCTGTTCCTGCTCCTGGGCCCCAGTCAGAGGATCTCTCCTCAGCTTGCGGGACCCAAACATTCCAGCCCTGACCCCCTGTGGCCCCCACCCCAAGGACCCAACAGGTGCCATCGCTCACCATGGTCCGTGGGCCTCTCAGCACTGGGCGCCCACCTCCAGCTCGGGCTGTGTTGAATGAGAAGTGAGCTCTCGCGCTCTCGACTGCAGCTAGGGGTTACTCAGTGCTTCCGCTTCCTGCCCACAACACTCCATTGGCCCCCACCTCCGTGGGGGGCCTTGGCCTCTCAGCACTACCCCGATCCACACCAGATCCTCACCGGTCTCTCACCCAGCAAGGCTGGAGCTATGGGGCCTGTGACCAGGCCTCCAAGAGGAACTGGGCACCCAGCTTGAAGCAGGACAAGGCCCCGGAGGTACCCAGCGACCCTCTGCCTGTTTCCCAACCTGGCAGAAGTCAGGGACTCGATGACTATGGGGGATGCTCACAGCCCCCAGATCTTTCTCTGATCTACGATCTCAAGAGGCCACTTATGTCCCCAGGTGTCCAGACTTCCTTTCCCAGCCCTACCCTTGCAGCAGAAGGGCAAACCTGGCTTTTAGAAAGAGAATTTTATTTGGAATGAAAATATAGAGCTGATCCCTCCAGCTTCCTCAGGGCAGGGAACAGGGGGGCTAGGAGGGGGCGGGGGAGATGGCCCCTCAGAATAGAAGCTCTCCTTGGTACAAAAATCCTCCACAGTAACAGTGACAAAAGCCAGGTGGTGGCTCCAGCCTGGGCCCACAGGATGGGTCAGGGTGCAGACTGGCCCCTGAACCTGCCCCAGAAACCCTCAGTAGGGGGCAAGGGGCAGCCAGTTGGAGTCAGTGTGACCTGCCAGCAGAGGCTGAGTGAGAAAGGGGGTGGAGGAGGAGGAGGAGGAGGTGAGTGGGGAGTGGCATCCACAGGGTCTGTGGTCCTACGCGTCTCCATTCTCCATGCGGCCGAGCTGCTCCTCCAGGCGTCCGATACGCTCGCCCTGCTCCTTGACCAGCGCTCTCAGTGCCCGCAGCTCCTGCATCACCTCCTCCAGCTTCCCTGCCTCCTGCAGGGGCATCAGCGGGGTCAGGGGTTGCAGAACTGCAGCCCTCCCCAAATCTACTATCAGGCAGGAACTTGAGGCTCAGAGAAGGGCAGTGAATGGTTCAGGCATGCACAGCAGAACTGGGGCTTCCCAACATCACCCCTGACTGAGCGGCACATACCCCAGCTCCGGCGAGGCTGCTGCTGGGGGTGGCAATATTGGTGGAGGCAGCAGACATGGAGGCCCCCGGGCGGGTGGAGCCAGGGGCCGCTGCAGGCCGGCTATCTGATAACACGTTGCGCCGGCTGACCTTCAGGTCCCGCTGTTTGCTAGGCACGTAGGCTTCCCGCAGGGAGATGAGGATGGGGTTGGCATCCCGCCCGCTCACCCACTCCTCTGGCCTCCAGGGCTGCCTCAGGACCAGCTGTGTCAGGGTACAGATCATCCTGGAAGAGGTCCGACTGGGCGGCGGGGAGAGGTCCAGATCAGCTGGGGGCCCACCTGCAGGGTCCTCTTGTCTGGATCCTGAGTCGCCATCTCCTTCTCACTCTCCTGGCCTCCAGGCTTGCACCCTGTCAACTTATCTTCCAAAGGCCTGACCCCTAGGACCTTTTTAAAGCTCAAATCTTCCCTTTCACTTCCCTTCTGGACACCATCAATAGTTCCCTAGGAAGACTCCCCCAACCTTTCCAAGCAGGGGTCAGCTATGTGGCTCTGTGGGATTCTGGGAGCCACGTCTGTGCTCTGTGGATTGGGAGTTCCTGAGGCAGGCCCTGTCAAACCTGTTCACAGCTCTGCTCCTGGACGTGCCTGGCATGCAAAATTGTGCACTCTGTAAACGCTCGCAGGAGAAAAATGAAGCCTGTCCAAGGCTCTTGGCTGGGGATCTGAGGCCAAGCCACATGTGGCCGAATCCTCACCTTGTGGGAGCCTCCCTGCAGCTAGACCCCTAGTTCTGCTCTCCATTCCCACCTCTGTGCCTTTGCCTGGCTTGCTATCCCTCACTGGAGGCCCTGCCCCAGCCCTGCTGTCAGTCCTGCCTTGCCTCCCACAGGGAGACCTCCTAGGCTGCCCAGCATCTGTCTCCTGCGGCTTGTCCAGGGCAAGGCCTCAGCTCACTGCGTGTCTCATCCCTGCTTGCCCCTGGCCGGGCATGCTGGAGTCTGTCTAGCCCCCTGGCTGCACCCACACTTGGCCATGTCCCATTCACAGGCCTCACCTTGGTCACCCATGTGTGGCCTGTCTGCTACAGAAGGGAGCTGGTGGGCAGGGAACCAGGTGGCCTCACCTTTCTTGGCACAGTCATGACAATGGGCTCACACTTGCGCTCATGCAGTTTGTAGAACCTGGGAAAGGAGGGGAGGGAGGACCCATGGGTGAAACCTTCCCTCACCAGCTCTCCCAGCTGCCTCCACGCTTCACTTCTAGTCCTTATCCCAGCCCCTCCCACTGACCCTGGGGCCCCGTTCGTGCTCCTGAGCAACCTCTTGTGACTTGACCTTTCACCTGGGATGCCCATGGTCCACTTCCTGCCCCGAAGGCAGACCCATCACCCTATGGCCGGCTGCCTCCGGGCCCTTCTTACCGGGCAATCTCGCACTTGCTGACCTCCAAGCCCCTCTTGGGCATGCTGCCCATGCCCCTCTGCGGCTCTTTGCTAGTGAACGTGTTCAGGAAGTGGATGTAGGGGGGCTCGTCTGTGATCTCAAAGTACCGGATGCTAGAGTCACCCTGCAGGGTGGGAGGGGACAGGGGTCAACACCCGGGCCTGCCTCTCTCCTCCCTGCACCCCTCAGCCCTGCCCAGCCCCACCTTGCCACAGACGTAGACCACGTTGGTGTCAGGGTCATAGAAGGGCAACAGAGCCCCGTTGCTAGAGTCCAGCTCCTGCAGGGCCATAGGCTCCCCGAAGTTTTCCTGGCACACAGGGTGAGGGGCAGTCAAGCCAGGCCAGAACCTCCCTCCTCCTTCCCCATCAGGACTGACCCTAGCCAGCCTCACAAGCCGGCTGGCACTGCCCCTACCACACTTACCCTTTGCCCACACGGAGTGCCCCACCATCCCCTCCTGGCTCCCATGGTCCCACTTTCCCTGCCTACTCCAGGACTTCAGAATACTCCTAGGCCACCAAGCAAATGCTGAGGAAGTCCCCACCACATGGGAGCCAGGGGTGCCATGCAGCACAAGTCCCTGTCTCAGAGGGGCCCTTGGAGGTCACTATACAGAAGGATAAGGCTGTGGGGCAGAACACTTCCGGGGAAGGGCTGGGAGGCTTCCTGGAAGAGGGGACCTCTGTACCGGATTTCAAAGGGCAGCCGGGCGGGAACAGACAAGCAAAGGAGGAAAGAGCAAGAACACTGTGGGCAGATGTGGAGGTGGCTGCAGGCGGTGGGGGAGGCCAGAGGGCAGGGGGCAAGGAGAGGAGAGGATGGCAGGGTTCAGGTTCTCGAGTGCCTTGGGTGCCAGGCTGTGAACCTGGGAACAACAGGCCTCTCCAGGGTGACCCCGCCCCTCCTTGCCCAGGGTGGAGCCCAAGTCTTGAGCCTGCCATTCAGACTGGCCACAGCCACTCACTGGGTCCCAGAGCGCTAGCTGCCGCTCACTCATGCGGCTGAAGCCTGTGGTGAACACCTTGCCATCAGCCAGGAAGATGGCCCGCATGGGCCGGGCCCCCTCATGAGCCTTCTCCTGCTCCTGCAAGGGAGATGGAGCGGTCAGTGTGGCGCCCCAATAGAACCCCTCACTCTGTCATCCCCACCCTCCAGGGCCACGTACTGCCACCAGGGTCCCCCGGCGGGGGTCAATGATGCGCACGCTCTTGTCCTTGCAGGCAGAGCAGAAGAGGCTGCCATTGCGGTTCCAGCTGATGTTGTAGATGAGGTCGGGGTGCAGGCTGTCCAAGCGGTACAGCTCTTCAGCTGTGCCCACGTTCCAGATGAGCACCACGTTGTCGCAGCCTGCCGGGCGGGGGGCCATCAGCCCACCAGGCCCGCTCTGACCACCCTCCTGGGACCAGACCCTGCACTCCACCTCTGTGGGCCTCAGCCTTCCCGGGTGTCGGATGGGTCTGGGAGAGGGTGGGGGGTGTTCCGGAGCTGTGTGTGGCAAGGGGTGGGGTGGGAGCAGTGGTGCAGACCTGCGCTGAGCAGCACGTTGCGGGCCGTCGGGTGCCAGGTGATGATGCCTACACGCTTGGTGTGCCCCTCCAGCACCACCACCGGCTCCGTCAGCGGGGAGGACAGCCCGTTCTCTGGGATCTGCCACACCTAGGGAGGGGTGGGGAGGTCAGCTGAGGCCTCTGCTTGGCCCGGCTGCCAGGAGCCTTGAGCCACACTTGTGACCCCAGCCCAACCACAGCCCCACGCCTCACCATGACTGTGCAGTCCTCCGAGCCACTGGCGATGACTTCGTCATTGTGGGGACACCAGTCAATGTCCAGGACAGGTCCTGTGTGTCCGCACACTGTTGGGTAGGCCTTGTCAATGCGGCCCGTCTGTAGGCACGAGGTGGGCAGTTAAGGTGGATCTAAGACGCCCAGGCTCCATCCCTTCCAGAGCTTTAGTCCCCACTCCCCTCCATGGAGGTGAAATGATGCAATTGCCCTGGCCCACAGGTGGACCACTTATGACTCTCACTCTGCATCTACCTGACCCACCTCTTCCTGACAGGTATCACCAGGTGATCAGGAAATCTTTGTTGCCTCTGACCCTGATTCTGCAGCAATAAAAGACTGTCTCCATCTGAGTTAACACCTCCCAGGCAGTAAATCTGGATTACAACACTGGTCCAGCAGTGTGGGGATGGTCAAATTATGGGTTGTGAAGTGAGCAGAGAGGCCTGGCAGGTGAGACCAGGCTGCCTCCAGCCTTTCCCCAGTCCCGATGGGGCCCACCTTGCTTAGGGGGAGTACCAGGAAGGCGCCCCCACCGCTAGCTTCCACAATCACCGCCAGGAACTTGGGGTTGACGGTGCAGAAGGTGCTGTCCCAGGTGACACGGGACACTCGTATGTCCTCATAGCACTGGTCATTCTTGACAGGCTGCCCGAACACATGCCGGAATTTGCTCTGCCGAACTACTTTGCGGAACATGACTGCAGGATAGAGAAGCAGGGGTCAGCCTCCACCCATCCCAAGACCATCCCAAGAAGCCCCAACCCTCCCAAGCTGCATGAAGAGAGGTAGGGAGGATGCAATACGGGGCATCGGCATTATAACCACCTGGCTGTCAGTTTCCCCAGTTACAGAACAGGATCCCAGCACAGATCTGGCTGCCTCTCCCCAAGGGGGTATCTGAAGGTGGAACTGCATTGACCTCAGGCCTACACTGTTGAGTCCTCAGGGGCTTTGCAGGACCCAACCTGGGGCCCCTCCCAGGTACTGGTATGTGTATGGAGGAGGTGTGAGGTGCTGAAGCCAGAGCAAGCTTAGCTCCTTTGTGGGTCCTAGTCAACTCCCAACAGTCTCCTTCCTGCGCAGGATTTGGAGGCCAGGTAATGGGGAGGACAGACAGAAATGGTCTCCGCTGTGGGACAGCGCTCGGCCCCAGTTCTGGGTCCCACGGAATGTGCAGTGCCTGCAGGAATACGCAGTGAGCCCCAGATCAGCCTAGGAGACCTGGCAGGGACTGAGCGGGGGTCAGGACGTCGCTCTCAGCCACAGAGCATCCCCGAGAGTCCTCAGAGCGGGGTCCAAGGTGAACCAGGAGCGCAACTTCCAGGGATTCCGGCCCAGGAGGGGAGAGGCTATGCGGCCAAGGGGAGCTGGGACTGAGGGTGGAGCGCAGCGGAGGGGAAGGGCTCCTCGGACTCGCGACCCCCATCCTAGCCCCCCACGGCTCTGCCCCCGAAATCCCGCCCAACCTC